AGATGTCCAACAAAAAACATTAGAAGATGTCAGAGACAAGCAAAAATTTGCATATAAAGATAAACCCATTAGGGTCATAGCAGACTTCTCAACACAAACTTCAAAGGCCAGGAGAACTTAGACGAAGTATTTTAAGCCCTAAGAGCAGACAGCTTCCAGCTCAGATTAACATATCCTTCAAAACTTTCTGTCAAAGTAGATGGAGAAATAAGGTGATTTCATGAAAAAAGAATAACTTCAGAGATACATGAACACCAAAGCAGCACTCCAGAAAATACTCAATATCCTAGACAGAGACAACAAAGCCAAAAATGCAGATGGCATGAATACATCAAGCAAGGCAAGTAGATCATCTAAACAAAAAAGAAAATAGAATCATCAATAGAAAAAGAATGAAATGTTAGAAATAAATTAACACCTTTCAGTACTAACTCCCAGTGGCTTCCATTCTGTTAAAAGGCACAAATTGGCAAACTGTATCAATAAACAGAACCCAACAGTCTTCCATTCTAGAAACTAACAAAAAATTCATAGACCAAAAATTAAAGTATAGAAAACAATATTTTATATGCCAGGACCCCCCAGAGCCATCAGGGGTAGCAATTTCACTCTCAAAGAAAGTAAACTTCAAGCTGAAACATGACAAAAGGCAAAGGCACAACATACTATTTTAGGGAATAATCCAACAGGTAGAGATAACTTTTGTTAATATATATGCACCCAATACTGGAGCACCTATGTTGATAAAACAAATAGTGCAGAACATGAAAAATCAATTAAATACCAACATAATCATAATGGGTGATCTCAATACCATATTTTCAAAAAGAGAATGATCAAAAATGAACAAAGAAATATCAGAGTTGAACACCTTTGAACTAATGAATATCTATGGAGTGTTCTGCTCTACTACAACTATATACATTCTTCTCAGAAGCACATGGATCTTTCTGCAAAATAGACCACATACCACAAAGCCTGCTTAAATAAATACAAAAGCACTGACATCACCCTATGCTTACTATCAGGTCATTGTGCACTGAAATTAGAAATCAATCACAGAAGAAAGCACAGAAAACTTACAAACAATTGGAAACTTAGTAACACTCCTGAACACTCAGTAATCAAGGAAGAAAGTAAACAGTTTCTAGAGTCAAATGAAAAGGCCAGTATAACACACCAGAAGCTATGTGAAATAGTGAAAGCACTCCTAAGGGGAAAGCGCATTGCAGTCAGTGCTTACATTGCAAAAACAGAACAAGCTCAAAGAACCTAATAATGAGCCTCAAGATAATTGAGAAACAACAATCCAATCCAAATTTAAGGAGGGATGTCATTAAGATCAGAGCAGTTATTAATGAAATTGAGACAAAAAAATTACAAAGGATCAATGAATTGAGCAAAAAGAATAAACAAAATAGATAAACCATTAGCCAAACTTACCATGAGAAAAGACTCACAATGCAACAGACAACATCAAAACTCAAGATAGTAGCTACTCTGACAAGTTATATGCCAAAAAGTTGAAAATTTTTTGAGATAGAATTACCAGAATGAAATCAAGAAGACATAAAAATTCTGAACAGTCCAATAATAAGCAGTGAAACTGAGGCAGTAAAAACAAAACAAAAAACCTACCAACTAAGGAAAGCCTGAGACCTGATGGATTCACTGCCAAGTTCTGCAAGACCTTTTTTTTTTTTTTTTTTTTGCGGTACCAGGGATCAAACTCATGACCTTGTGCTTGCCAGGCAGGCACTTATGCCACTGAGCTATATCCCCAGCCCTGCAAGACCTTTTAAGACAGTTTAACACCAGTCGTCCTCAAACTTTTTAATGCTTCCAAAGTCATTTCTGGAAGCCAGCATCACTCTGATCCCAAAACCAAAGACCTAGCCAAAAAGAAAACTACAGATCAGTCTACTCAATGACCATAGGTGCAAAAGCACTTAATAAGGTATTGAATGCAACAAATCATCTAAGGGATCGTACATTATGACCAAGTAGGTTTTACCTTGGGATTGCAAGGATATTTTAACATATGCAAATCAATGAATGTAATATACCACATAAACAGAAATAAGGATGAAAACTACATGGTTATACCTATAGATGCATAAAAAGCATTTGAGATTTCAACACCTATTCATGATAAAATCCCAGTATGTACAAAAGGACCTTACCTGAGCCTGATGAAAAGTCACAGACCTACTGCCAACATCGTATCTATCACAGAAACTGAAAGCTTTTCCTCCAAAATCAGGAACAAGACAAGGATGCTCACTGTCATTTTTGTTCAACATAGTACTCAAAACAGAGTCAACATGGAAGAGAAAAAATAAAAGATATTATATAATATATAAATGTATATTCACATTATCACTATTTGCAGATGATATGATCCTCCACTTACAAGACCAAAGACGCCCCCCGCAAGCCACTAAGTCTTAGAATTAGTAAGCAAATTCAGCAATGCATCAGTTTATAAAATCAACACAAAAATAATAGTGTTCCTGTACACCAGTAATTAACTTGCTGAGAAGTTAGGAAACACTACCATTCACAGTAGCATCAAAAAAATTAAATACCTAAGAGTTAACCTATCCAAGGAAGTGAAAGACCTCTACAAAGAAAACTATGGTACTCTGAAAAAGGAGATTGAAGAGGATATCAAAAAGTGGAAAGATATCTGCCATTCCTGAATAAGAACTAATATCAAAATAGGTATTCTTCCAAAACTGATATGTATAGATTTGTTGTAATTCCAATCAAAACACCTACAGCATTCCTCACAGAACTAGAGAAAACAACCCTAAAATTCATGTGGAACCAGCAAAAACCCTAAATACCAAAAATAATCCTGGGCAACAAGAGCAGAGCAGGAGAGCTCACAATACCTGACTTCAAGTTATACTACAAGGTGACAGTGATTAAAAACAGCACAGAATTGGCACAAAAACAGACAGGTGGATCAGTGGAATAGAACAGAGGATGCAGAAACATATTTAGCTATTCCAGACATATTTAGCTACTTCATTTTTGATAAAGGGGTCACTAAATATGTTGGAGGAAAGATAGCCTCTTTAGCAAATTGTGCTGGAAAAACTGGCTATCCATATACAGAAGATTGAAGCTGGACCCATATCTCTCAACATATAATAAACTAAAATCAAAATGGATCAAAGATCTAAATATTAAAGCAGAAAACATTGAACCTATTGGAAGATAAAATAGGAAAAATTCTTGAAGTCATTGGGATAGGCAAGGACTTTTTGAACAGAACACCATTTGGACAAGAAATAAACAGAATCAATGGATGAGATTATATCAAATTAAAAAGCTTCTACACAGCAAAGGAAACAACCAACAGTGAAGAGACAAGCCACAGAATGGGAAGAAAATCTTTGCCAGCTGTTCCTCAGACAGAGCACTAATTGCTAAAATGTATAAAGAACTCAAACTAGACACCACCCAAAATAGAAGACATAATCAAGAAATAGGCAAGCGAAGTAAATAGATAGTTCTCAGAATTACAAATGATTGATAAACATATGAAAAAAATGTTCACTATCCCTGGTCATGACAGAAATGCAAATT